CTTTGTAAATGAGTTCGGGATCCATTAGACATATCGCCGGGTAGGATCCAGTTTTGCCAGTTCATTTCGGCACAGGGAGAGGGGCCAAGACAAATGTAAGGACCATCCCCTTTATGTAGAAAATCAAATAGGGAGCCATCATCTTGATTAAGGTAAGTAACATTTTTCCAAGGGGGTGAAAGTATCACTGGGGAAGTATAAATAGGAATATCCACACTTCCCCAGGGTGCAGGTTCCATCATAGGTGGGTTGGGTATATAGGCCGAATAGCTTACATCTGTCGCTTCAGCGGAGGATGATACAGTAAGTAAAGCGCACATGGCCAAAAACAAATTTTTGGGTGTGCAAGCCTTCCCTGTCCGCTGCAAGATTTTTTGCCCTTCCCCACCAAGCCTTTTAATTTGTCCCTAGGTAGGCAAAACAGTAGCAAATGTTTGCCGACGGCGACGTCGTCCCCCCAAATTTAGGTGTGCCATGGCCTGTATTGGAAGTTCATCGTGGTCTGGATTCCTTGTTCGTCGCCTGACAGGATACGGTGCCGTTCGAATTGGTCCTTGGCTGGATCCACCTCGCGGGGAGCCAGGAACAGGTCCGTCCCTCCTCTGTGGAGACATAAGCATAACCCTTCCCTCTATAAAGTAATAGCCCTGGTTGCCATTCTGCATCTGCAGCCGGTTTAAACCATATTTTTTCATTTAACGGAGGAGGAGCAGCCTCTCCCTCTATGAAATGCTTTTCTGCTCAGGAAAGAATATCTCCTTGCGGAAGATTCAAGAAATTGAGTGTAAATAGTGCCTGTATCAAAATAGAATGCGCATTAGATTGATTAAGTGATAATATATGATCCTTTTTCCTCCTTTTTAATTTTTTAATTTGTAACTTTAAAGTACTATGCGCACGTTCCACAATAGCCTGTCCTTGGGGGTTGTATTCAATGCCTGTTTTATGCATTATACTATATTGTTTACAAAAGGCTTGAAATTTTTTGCTGCTATATGCAGGGCCATTGTCTGTCTTAATGATAGATGGTAGGCCCATCACAGCGAAAGTTTCTAATAGATGGGTGATGACATGTTGTGCAGTTTTACCAACTTGTGCCGTAGCCCATATGAAATGAGAATAAGTATCTATTACTACGTGCACATAAGAGAATCGGCCAAACTGTGCCACATGAGTAACATCCATTTGCCAAAGTTCATTGGCATATGTGCCTCGGGGGTTTACCCCAGCTTTTGTAGTGCGCAGATGTAAAGGTCTACAGATTGGACATTGCTTCACGATAGATTTTGCTTGACGGTATGGAATTTTATATTGAACATGTAACCTTCCGGCATTGGTATGCAATAAATTATGTTCTTCCTCTGCAGATACAAAAGACACCAAAGCGTCCACTTGAGCATTACCATGTGTCAATGAACCAGGAAGATTAGTATGGGAACGAATATGAGTCACATAAATACGAGCATTCCGGCTTCTAAGCAAAGTTTGCAAAAGTAAAAATAGGTTAAGTAAATTGGACTTATGTGAATGTACAACAGCAGTGTATATATTTTTAAGGACTCCTACAGCGTAAGCAGAATCAGTGATAATATTTACAGCGGAGGGAAAATCCTTTAACACCTGAGTAATGGCGAACAATTCATTTTGCTGGACTGAATTAAAGTCTGTATACTGAATCCAATATTTAGTAGGGGTCCAGTAAGCACTTTTAGTTTTGGAGCCATCGGTAAAGACCGTGGGTGCATCAATTAGGGGCTGATCACTGATGATATCCTGAATAACAAACTCTTGTTTGTGAAAACAGTCCCATAATTTTCCTTTGGGAAAATGACAATTAATTTGACCAACATACCCTGCAAGAGCAATTTGTAGTTCTTCCATATTTCGTAACAAAAATGAAAATTGATCCTTGGACAGGGGGATAATAATGTCCATAATATCACAACCAGTTATGGTTATAGCCCTGTCTCGAGCTTGTTCTATCAGATATGCTATTTGAATACCATAGGGCGTAATATTTTTTGAAAAATGATGTTTAGTATAGATCCATTCAATGGGTAACTCATTTTGACCTAGTATAGCCGTGTGATATTGCCATGTATGAAGAATATACAATTTTAGAGGCAAGGAGGGATCAATTCGGATTAAGAAAGCAGATTTAATTTTTCCTCTACAAACTGTAGTTCAATTTCGGCTTCAGTAGTAAGTTGTCTGGGGCTATTGATATCAGGGTTTCCCTGTAGGGTTTCAAATAAGTTATGCAATCGGTAAGTAGGGATACCTAGAGAGGGTCGCAACCAATTAATATCCCCTAATAGTTTTTGGAAATCATTTAAAGTTCTCAAGTTATCCCTACGAATAGCCATCTTCTGTGGCCTAATTGCATTTCTTTCTATCACATATCCCAGATAATTGATGATATCTCCTTTTTGAATTTTCTCCTGGGCAATTATTAAGCCAAAAGGAGCAAAGTACTCAGGTAATAATTTTAAAATTTCATCCAATTCATTTTGATGAGGGCTAGCGAACAGGATGTCATCCATATAATGAGATATGTATACATGGGACCACCTTTGCCGTACAGGGCGCAAAGTAGCATCAACATAAAGTTGGCACATAGTAGGAGAGTTCATCATGCCTTGAGGTAAAACTTTCCATTGGAACCTTTGATGAGGTCCCTGTCTATTTATAGGGGGAAGGGAAAAGGCAAAGCGTTTTCTATCATCTTTATGCACAGGGATAGTGAAGAAACAGTCTTGCAGATCAATAACTACAGTATGCCAACCTTTTGGTAAGACAGCTGGCGAAGGTATACCAGGCTGAAGGCCCCCCATAGGGAACATGGAGTTGTTAACCCCACGTAGATCAGTAAGTAGACGCCATTTACCTGAGGTCTTCTTTATAACAAAAATTGGAGAATTCCACGGGGAAGTGGAATGCTCAATATGTTGCTTTTGCAATTGTTCTTGAACCAATTGATGGGCAGCAGTAAGTTTTTCCTTAGTTAAAGGCCATTGTTCAATCCACAAAGGATCTTCAGATTTCCATAAAATTTTGATGGGTTCCATCTACAATTAGAATTCGAGATGAGCTCCCCACTGCTCTAGGACATTGCGGCCCAAAATATTTAAAGGAACATCTAAAATATATGGTTTTAGGACAGCCATCTGACCATCCTGGGAAGTAAATGTCACGAACTGAGTAGCTAGGCCGATACTGTGAACGGGAGTATTGCCAACTCCTTTTATGTGACAAGGCACGATAGTATAGGGGAGCTTCTCAGGCCAATCAGCAGTCTTAATAATAGTGATGTCTGATCCAGTATCTAGTAAAACAGTAATATCTTTAGTATTCAATTTAACTTTCGTCAAGGGCTGCATATGAGTTATCTGTGTAGTCCAAAAAACATTTTTTGTGTCTGTACTACCGAATCCCCCATGTCTAATAACAGTAGACTGACCGACAGAAAGGTAAGGTAATAATAATAATTGGGCAATGCGTTCTCCTGCTTCAAAAGATATATCAACTAGGGAAGACATAAGAATTTGGATTTCTCCCATATAATCAGCATCAATTATGCCTAAATGAACTGTTACTCCCTTTGATGTCAGGCTTGAGCGTCCAGTTAATAAAGCAAAGGTGCCAGTTGGCAAAGGTCCATAAATGCCAGTGGGCACTCTCTGCGGTTTGTCCCCTCCTTTTAAAGTAAATGATTTTATGGCTGGTATATCCACTGCGGCGCTGTGTTGGGTGGCTGGGCTAAGGGAGAATATAGTTGGTTTCCCCTGTTCGTTTGTCCTGGACCCGGGGTAGGGCCCGAAATGGAGTTTCCCTGGTGCTTCTCTGCAAAACTGGTATTTAGTTTAGCACGACATTCTCGAGCCCAATGCTTTCCCTTTTTACATCGTGGACAAATTCCAGGCCCACGCCCTTTATCAAGTTTCTTCCCTTTACAATTCTTTCTCAAATGTCCTGGTTGCCCGCAGCCAAAACATTTCATCTTATCTAGTTGTTTGGACTGCAAGGAATGCCAAGTAGTGGCCATAGTTTCAGTAAATAGCTGTATCTTTCGACTTTCTGATGTTACATCCTTACAGGCCTT